TGGGGATGGCGGGGGAGGTGGGGGAGACAAGAATTTAAACAAGCAGGGCTAAAAAGTTTACTCGAAAGTGCAAATCTCTGTCTCATAAACGGCACGCAATTAAGCTAATAAACCAAGCACACTAAAATCTACCTGAATATCTGTCGTCTTTGCTGAGTGTTAATGAAAGTCACGTCCTCTTGGATTCTAGAGGGAATTTAAACATTATGATCATTATAAGATACATAAGACAACAGACAAACAAGAAAGCAATAAAGAAGCTCCCACAGATAATTTGCTAGCAATGCCATGTCTTTTTTTTTTACCTTTTATCAAACGGGAAATGTTCTTGTCCCTGCAGACAAAAATAGATACACATTTTAAAAAATAAATACCAAAAAAAAGTGGAAATACAGATAAAAAGTATCTATCTATCTATCTATCTATCTATCTATCTGTGTGCTACTTTTGAAACATAACATGAAATTTTCTAGCTAAATATTGTAGCTAAATTGTAATGAACTAAACCATTTATTAATTACGCTCAAATTAACTATTACACATAATAAACATTTATATATAAAAAAGTTGTGGTTTATTCTAATAATAAGCATTCTATTTATATTTATTACATTTATAATAATATACATTTAACAAAAAATATCGTAAACAAAAATGGTACTTTTGAAACATAAGATGAAATTTTCCAGTTTTTTCTAAACTGCACAAAAAAAAATAATTGCAATGAACTAAATTTTTTTTTTAAAAAGTGAAAAAAAATTATTAAATAATAAATAATTTATTAATTATGCTTAAATTAAGTTGGAAATTATAAACGTTTACACAAAATTGCATTTTTTTATAATAAACATTCTACATTATTTTAATAATAAATATTACACATATATTCATTATTAGTGTTATTACTTATTCTAGCAACAACAAACACCAATAATAAATGTCATTATTAAATAATAGGTTCATTGTAAGATGTGTTGTATCTTGGTAAGGAGACGCACGTCTTGGGCGAAGATCCTGTCTCTGGCACGCTGGTACTCCTCCTCTCGCTCCTCTATAGACTTACTCCGTCTGTCGTCCTTAAGACGCATCCGCAGCTAAAACACACACACACACACACACTTTGTCTTCCTGACTGCTGTATTGCACCATTTATTATACATATTATATTTATTTGTTGGTCGTTGGATTATTTCAAGGAGAATTTGTAAGTACTATATTTTTTTTAGCTTATTTAAGATAAGTATATATTTCTCACCCTGCCATCATCCTGGTCCAGGCTGGAGTTATCTCTCTTTAAGATGTACCTCTTTTGGAAATCATCGGTTTTATCATCTTTAATGTGTTCAGAAAACTTCTGATCTGGTCTGTAAGGGAAAGAAGTGGTTACATTAAAAAAATTCACACTTCTGACAAATGAGGATAGTTGAAATCCACACGTACATTCTAGTATTGCTGGTTTTGTTGATAATGACTGATTTCCCGGTCTGATCGACATTATGGTCCAGCCCAAAATACGCCGCCACCCTGTGAAGGAGCATCCTGTGGTATGATGTCATCGGGGGAAACTTCCGCTTCTGACTTCTG